GTTCTCACGCTGGGGAACCAGCCTCCTGGGCAGCAGGGGAAGCATCGGCAACGAGGTGCATCAAGGGGTCTGGCCCATTCACAGGAGGGTGGGGAAAGCTGATCTGGCTCTAGGACGGTGCAGGTTTGGGGGCTGGGGTCCTTTGGGGGTTGGGGCCCCACCGCTTCTTCCTGGTGCCTGAAATGCCTGTCATCTTCATACTCCTCCCTCAAAGTCATAGAAGCTTCTGGTGTGCGCATCACTTCCCAGGTCCTGCTGGGGCTCAGCCCGAGGGGTCCGTCTTCTCTGAAGGGACTGGAAACCCACCTCTGCCATCTCCATGGCCTGACTCCCCTCCCGGGCCCCTCCCACCTGCCCTGTCAGCCCAGCCTGACGCTGCCCACTAAAGTGCACTGTCTCCCCTCGGGCCTCTGGAGAAAGGACGGCCTGAACCCCATGGCCCCTCCAGCCCCCCTCCCTGCCACCCACAGGCCCTCCACCCAAGCCCAGCATGATCTCAGAGCTCAGAGGGCCCTTGGCATGAGAGCTTCCCTCCTACACGGGGGGGGGTGGGGGGCGGTGCATCAGGATGTTCCATCAGGTTAAACTGGCATGGAGACATCCCCGTCGAAGCCCGGGAAGGGCCTTTGAAAATCATGAGGAAGCATCGTGGTGCCGACAGAAAAGTCCTGGGTTCAGATCCCCGCTCCTGTGTAATCTTGGGCAGCTTGCTTGTCCCGAGTCCGGGTTTCCTTCTCTCTCGGGCGGGGCCTCTGGGATCTGCTCCTTGCTGAGCCCTTAACTGTGACAGGAGATACTGCGTGTCAGGCATATGCCTGGCACGTAGTGAGAACTCATTCAACGGTAGTTGTCATGGTTTCGTTTTTACAAAAAGCTGAGCTGTATTTGGAGAAGGGACTGGGATCAGAGAGTTTCTGGTCCTCGTCCAAGGTCCCCCAGAGGCACACAGAGGCGGGATTTCCAGAGGCCCCAAATCATGAAAGGCCACATGGAGGAGGCAGGATGGCAGAAGGTGGCCAGCCCAGCCTCCCCGGTCAAGAACCTCCAGCCTTGTCAGATCCCAAACTCACTGGCCCCCCCCTCGGGAGGTTCTGATTTGGGAGGGGCCAAGGAATCTGTCCTTGTAATCAGCACTGGTCTTCGTGGCCCCATGGCCCTGATGCACAGCCTGGCTGGGGCCCGCGGCTCAGTCCTCCCCCAGCCCCCTGGGGACCAGGCGGGCGTAGCCTCTCCTCACACACCCGTGCTGATGGGAAGCTCCTCACCTCCCACAGGCAGCCAGCAAGACGACATCCACCTCGGACGCCGTTGCAAAGTTCTTTCTGAGCTTGAGCAGACATCTGTCTCCCCAGATCTCTGCCCAGACTTCCTAACCCGTCTGTATTTTATCTCCACATCTGTACAGGGGTGGCTAATGATGGGACCCAGAAGACCCTCAGACACAAATCCTGCCTGGTGGCTCTGGGTGTGGAGGGCAGCCCACAAGGGCCACCCTGGGGAATGAAGGCCTCGCAAGTCCCCACCTGACCCTCAACAATGGGCGAGTCTTCAGAGGGCCACCTGAGCCCCTCAGCCTGGCCGCCGCTGGGTTCCCCGGGGCGTGTCGAGCTCTACAGATCCGCTCAGCTGACGTGGTGCACTTCTTAAAGTGACTTGTTAATAAGTCATTTTAAATGCTATTTCTGAAAAAAGAAAAGTTGCTTTTGTACTAAAGAAAACCATTTGATATTATGAATTTGACTGCAGAATTCACCTCGATATTCAACATAAATGGCGACATCTAATTTCTTAGAAACCCCCAAACTCTGGGGGTGCCAGGGTAGGAGTAGTTTTCTATAAGGTGATGGTATTTCCCGCAGAAAAGTTCCAGCTCTTCTCTAGGCAATTCATCTATCCGTCCAAGTTCCTCTGACACCTCCTAGATGCTTCCTAGACTAGCCCCCAGCTACTGAGATGCCTGGAGGATAGTCTAGGTGGAGGGGGCTCAGGGGAGGTCTCAGGGCTGGGGGAGAGGAAGGAGCGAGCTCACGAGTGACCAACACAGCAGGTGCTGGGAGCAGGAGGCTGGAGCTATGGAAGGTTCTTGAGCTCAGCCCTGTCTGGACCACAGGATGGCTTTGCTGAGGTAACAAGCATAGGAGCTTGATCATGGAAGGTGTGGAGACAGTCTGGGGCTCTGGCCTTGAGGGAGTGGCCTGTCCCTGTCCCTGCCCTAGCCCACCACGTGACCTGAGAGAACGAAGGCAAGAAGGTGCTGGACCAAACAACTGATCCGCACAGCCTGGGGTCCTCTGACCTCTCTGGGGGTCTCGAATGCAGGAATGGAGTCTGTGAACTGGTGTCCATATTCCTCAAAGCCAGCTGCCAGACACTGTGTCTGTCCTGGGGGAGGCTGCCCAGGCTCGTGGAAATGTCAAGTGCCCGTCTTTGCTCGGGGCTGACATCAGCTCTGCGTGGGAACAAAGCGCATGCTCATGCCGAGCCTGTCTGGATTGGCAGTGATCTGCGTCCTTGTTTGGTTTCAAAATAGGGGGCCCAGAAGGAAAAATCATGAAAGATGCCCTTGTTGGAAGAAACGTCGAGGAGCCCAGCGGATCGCCTCCCTCTGGGCTTTGGCTGAGACGAGGCAAGCAGCACACACGCACTCCCCAGTGTCTGGGTTCCTAGGGGAAGCTGCCAGTACACCTGCTCCATGGGAGGCCCCGGCGGGGGGGGGGGGGGGGGGACCTTCATTTTACAGGTGTTTTGAGTCTGTGGGAGGCATGGGGGGGAGAGGGGAGGAAATCTTGTCCATTTCCCATCTGTAGGGTGACTCAGGCCTGTCGGGCAATCTTATCAACAAGTTGGTTGTTTCCTCGTTTTAGAGATGAAGAAACAGAGGCTCAGCATGGTCAAGTGACTTGTCCAAGGTCACACAGCTCATCACTTTCGTTTAACATGTATGTGGGGGCTACTATGTGGCTGGCACTGACCTTGCAGCTGGGACCGGATGGAGTAAGGAAGACAAAGTCCCCCCCCCCCACAGAGGGGTCATCTTAGTGGGTGAGAGAGACAACACAGATAAACAAGCAAGAAATGTCAGGCAGTTTCTGTGAAGCAGATTCCACAGGGAGATGGGCGGGATGTGGCTGGGGTGGGACCAGGGCAGGCCTCCGTCAGGATGTAGCATTTGTGCGGAGGCCTGAACGACAGGAAGGAGGCAGCCGTGTAAAGAGCCCGATCAGGTGCCTTTCCCTAGAACGTTCCAGTGGCCTGAGTGGCCCCTGACAGGTCTCACTGCCGGTGCTCAGCTGCAGGGTCAGTTTGTGAGAATGAGGGCCAGAAGAAGGCTGGACACACAAGAGAACAAATCCTTGTGAAGATGGCCCAAGAGCGTCCACGGGGCTCCTGGCGCTGCCGGATGTCCCTGCGGCCTGCCCCGCCGCCTGGGGCCCCGGGGTAACAGCAGCTCACGAAGGCCTGCCTCATCCGGTCTGACCCAGGCCAGGTTGTCGATCAAGGCGGTGACTGAATCCCATCCTGTGAGGGGACCGGATGTCTTCGAGGGACAAGTGGACACAGGCAGCACGTGATGGGCGGGCTTCTCTGGTTCTATCTGATCCAGCCCCAGGAAAACTGAACGCTCTCCCCGTGAGGCGGTGGGGGGCGGCTCGGCCCAGCGTGCGCATCGGCAGTCGGCCCGCCTCATACGTTAAGGGCGGGCTTGTGGTTTTGCAGCCACGCGTGGCTGCCCTGTTCTCTTCTTGGCCTGACTCTTGCCATTTCTGAGATCCTAAGACAGACTCCTCAACTAGCCCTCTCTGCCGCACAGCTTAATCGACCAAAGGGAACCAGGAAGCTAAACCGGTGCCCCTCTCGGCACCAGGAGGCCGGCCCAAGTGGAGCTGCGTGACAGCGAGGACGGGGCACAGGGAGCACAAAGCCAGCTGGGCAGGGCCCTGCCCCCCATGCCTGGGGCAAAGCAGGTGCTAGGGGAGGCCCATGGGCTAGGGGTTGGACGGGGCCATTTGTGACAGGGAGCATGCCCACTCGTCTCCGCCTCAGTCACTCACCTGAGAGACGGTGCACCCACCGCCTCCCTCTCAGGGTGCTGGGCGGACACCAAGACTCCAGGTCTCGGGCCAGCAGTGCTCCCAAGGGCCTCCCGAGGGACAGCTGAGGAGGGCCCCACCGTTCTCAAGGTGGAGCCCTGTGCCTCGAGCCCCTTCCCAGCAGAGGGGCAGGGGCATCTGGGAGCCTCAGATGCCACCACCCAAACACTGAGCTTTGCTTTGGCTCCTAAGCAGACGCCCTTGTTAGTTCTGTAAAGCACGAAGAGGCTAGTATTTGTGGACTAGTATTTATAGAAAGTCCTCCACCCAAACAAAACCGAAATAAAGCAAAGGAACTGCCTGAATGCCGACTATCTGGTGACGGGGGAGGGCGCCCTCCTGGCGACCCGGAGCTGTCGGCCACAGCACGGCTCACACACCGAGAACCGGGCGCCCTGTCAGGAAAGGCGAGAGCTGCCCACGGCCCCGCCGCTGCTCACAGGGCCTGGAGGACTTGGGTCTGCAGCAGAACGGTCCCCTCCCCGGATGTGCGGGGACCGGGAGGAGGGGGGGTGCCGGACACCCAGCGCTGTCCCGCCGGGCTGTGAGGCCGGCCGCGCACGTCCCATGAGAAGGCTGGCGCCACCGGCTGCGGGGCGAGACCGGAGGAGGCGTCCAGCCCCCCAGGCCGCTGCGACGCACACGAGACCCGAGTAACAGCACTCTTAACACCCGATGTGTAAGACCACCTATTACTCTTTCTTTATTGCGGTAAAAAAGTGGTTCTATTTCTAGAGACCAAACAGCATCACAGAGACATTCTTGGCAGAGGATTCTCTTTGTCCGCAAGCCCTCGCGACGGACTTTCAATCTGCTCCCCTGCGGGAACGGAGCCGGCCTCGTGGTGCGGGGAGGGAGACGCGGTCCTGCACCGCACAGCGGCCGGGGCCTCGGAGCTGGCCCCCGACTGTCCAGAGTCCGGGCGCCCCGGAGGCCGCACATGGCAGCCAGTCCCTGTGGCGTCGCGGGGCAGGAGCCTGGGAGCTGGGGAGCTGGGGAGGGATCCAGGGCGGCCTCCTGACTTCTGCTGCACCACTGACGGTGGGAGCCGGCACGTGTGAGTCCCCTGGGCCTGCCTGGTCCTGGGCCCGCAGGAACGGCGCTGCCAGTCTCTGCCCTCCAAAGGCTGAGAAGGCGTGCTCTCGGGGCCTGGGCTGGCCCGGTCCCGTCCCCAGGCATAAGAGTGGGGCGTGTCTCTGAAGCCCCCAGTCACCCAGGGCACCTGGTATCCAAGAACCTCCTTCCCACTGTTCTTTCAAATGCGCCCCCCGCCCCCGGCCTGACTCTTGACCCGTTTTCTCCTTAAAGCCGGGCAGACTCATCGTCAGTGGTAAAGACGACTAATCGTAGTGGCTCCCCAACCTGTGGCGGTGAAGGGAAAACAACGCAGCACCGGCTCCCCCCGATCCAGGGCCCCCCCCGCTCCTGGAGGAGCCTGACAAGAGCGGCCACGTCCTCACCTCTCCTGCACCCCCATGTCTGGGGGGGGGCCAACCACACCCAGCCTACCCCCTCCAGTGGGCTCCAGGACCAGTGCTCCCCTTGGACCCGTCCCCTCTCGGTCCTTTTCACTTGACCTGCCCCTGTGTAGTCACCCAGGTTCCCCACGCTTCCCTTGGCCTTCCTGAACACTGACTACTGGCAACAACTTGGGAAGGCCCAGGGGGGCCATCCCCCACAGGGATGGGCGCAGGCTTCGAAGGTGCAGGTGCCACACGGGGCTCCACTCTGGAGGCTGAGGAAGGAAGGGGGGAACCCCCAGCCCGGGCTGCAGGGGCAGAGAAAGCGGCGGCTGCCGGACCCATGGCATGCTGGGCCGCGGAACACCTCGCGCTCTGCCGCACACGGCAGCCCCCACCCCCACCCCCGGCCAGCGCGGCTTCTACCCTGAGCCGTCTGTCCGAGAAACAGCAACGGTCCTGGCTGAGTCTGCCTGAGGGAGGGGCCTCCAGCCCCCCACTGCCGGTGCCGCGGCCAGGGCCGGTGTGCAGGGCTGCTCTCCAGGAGAACGTTCTCTGCAGCACCGAGGACGGCGGGGTGCGAGTGTGGTGCAGGCTGAGGACCGGGCGCTCCCTGGGCCCGCACGGCAAAGGCAGACCACAGGAAAAGGCCCATCCGGCCCCAGAGCTCTGGGCCCCCTTGTCCCCAGGCCTGGTCCTGCTCGGGCCACATCCCCCAGCCGGGGCTATGGTGCCGTCATCACGCTCTGCTCGCCATGGTCCACGCTCCAGAGGCGGTAAAACTCAGCAAAGTCCACGTAAGGCTCCACACGGCCGCCCTCGCCAGGCGGGAGGGAGTGCACGGGCCGGGAGCGGAAGAGGCCCCCGTCCGAGCTGGAACTGCTGCTGTGTGTGTGCGTGGTGGTGGACTGCAGCGTCAGGGTCGGGCTCTGGCTGTGGGGACCGCAGGGGACAGGCAGTCAGGAACAGAGAGGCCCCTCAGGCCACGAGAGCCAGCCCGGTCAGATGTTCTTAAGGGCTGAGGAAAACTCAAACGTATTTTCCAAGCTCTAGCTCTACATGGCTCCTTAAGTTAATTAGAATTTAATAGAACGGATCACTCGGTTCAAGGGCTTGATCACCACGCAACCGAGTGGCTACAGTCTCGGACACAGAACATCTATCTCCCCTCAGAACAGTGCTGAGCTAGAGGCGATCCACTCCAGCCTCTCCAAATCCCACTGACCACAGGCAGACAAGGGCTCTTCTCCCCAAAAACTGGCTGGGTGGGACAGGCCCCCTGTTGTCAGAGCTCCCTGGGCACCCGGCTCTGTCACAGAGCACCTCACAGCCGGGCATTACCTGTGAGCCTGCCGTCCCACACACTCCTAGCACTGCCCGGAACCCAGCCCTGGCCGACCCACAGTGGGGCCCACCTAACACCCAGACACAGGCTGAAGGGAAGGGGCCGTTTAGGGTCCCCAGGAGCAGAGGTACGGCAGGATGGCTGGTTCTCCTGCCTGGCCTGGGACCCGTGCTGTCCCGCTCTGCCTCTGTGGACACTGCTGGTGGTTTCCTGCGGGCAGCCCTGCAGTTGGGATGCCCACCACTCGGCTGCCTGGCAGGCCCCTCTGGCCCCCAGCAGCAGCAGCTCTGGTGGCAGTGGGGGCAGGGAGCCGGAAGGCCCCCTGGGAGGCCGAGGCCAACAGCACCACTCCCTCCTGGACGGCCCTTCCAATTGGCCACATCCTCTGAGTGGGCTGGGTGTGGCATCCCTATTATTCTGCGCAGGGCTGGAATGTGGAAACCAGATCCCGGTCCCCTGGGGTGGTGGGGTTGGGGGGGGTGGACATTCCACAGAAGGGAAGCGGCTGGAGGGACACAGACCTGTGAGGCAGGTCTGCAGCGAGGGGGCCAGACGGCTCACCCCTAGACTCTGGGCCTCCTACTGCCTCCGCACCCCCCCCCCCCCCCGCCTTAAACTAGACGACTCACTCTAAAGCTAAAATGGGACGCTTGAGTCAGAGCACCGGCTGTGACCAGCCAGCAAAGGCCAAACAATGTCCCCCAAGCATGGATGCCACCGGGGAGGCTCCGAGATGGGGAGAAGATGGGAGAAGAGAAAAGAACAGGAGAACCTTCCCATTAAAGGAACACGAACCTGTGGGGCCCACGGGAAAGCACAAACAGCAGGCTGTCCGCATTAGCGGCCTGTCTCCTCCCAGCCCGCCTCGCCCACTCTGCCCCCGAACCTCCACTCCTCCCAGGTCTGGGTTCAGTGAGCTGCTGGAACCTGCAGGGCTGCCTCCTCCTGCCTCCGGGTCTGGGGAGGACCCCCAGGGATGGAGCTGGAGGATGTGAGAGGCACAGGACCCCAGCGCACCTCACCCAACATCACTCGACCCCAGGACTTGGCCCCGTGGCCACTTATGTCCAGGTACTGAGGGCTGTCCCAGGAGGCAGGCTGTCCCAGGAGGCAGGCCTGTGGGAGGCTGCGGGCGGGGTGAGGGCTTACTTGGTGAGGGTGGGAGTGGCTTCGTCCAGGGTGGACGCGCTGTGGGCCCCATTGAGCAGCTGGCCCTGGGAGGGCATGACGAGGGACAGGGTCACGCTGGTCTTGCTGGTGCTCTGGGCACTGGAGTACGGCACGGAGACGGGGTACACACGTCCTCCTGCAGCTTGGGGAGGAAGAGAGCGGAGGGCCGCAGGGAGTGGCTGAGGGGAGATCCCTGGGGTGCTGGGAACAGGGCTGCTGTGGGGCCTGCTGGGGGCAGTGTCTGAGGAGCCGAGTAGGTGGGCAGCGGCCAGGCCTGGCTCCCGACACCGCCCCTTGGGACAGTGAAGGGATGTCTGTCTCAGGGCAGACTCTACCAGACAGCAGCGGCGGCAGGGGCGGGGGGGGTTTCATCTCAGCAACAAAGCACCAGTGGTACTTAAAGCAGGAGGAGCGCATGCGCTGAGCTGCCTCGAGGAAAGGGTTACTGCCAGGCTTCCCATGGTGCTCTCAGCCGAGGGGTAAGCTGAGGTTGGCCCAGCAAAAATCTGGTTGCAAAAACAAGTTAGAGAAAATCGGGTGACCCCGGTGTCTGTGGGGAAACAAATCCACTGCTCGCACGCTAAGCCCTGCTTGTCTGAAAAAAGAAAAGGAAACACAGCCCCTAGGAATTGATGGTCTTGACACTGAGCAGCCCTGGGAGAGAAACAGAAAAGGACCAGCACCTCTCTTCCTGAGCAACCTGATCACAGAATTACAAAGGCAGAAAATAAGGCGTCTCAGCCTCACCCCCGACAAGGACCAGGGACAGAGCCAGGCTTCGGGGGACCCTCTGTCCACATGTCTAACCTCACCTCCCTCTCTTCCTTCCAGAGCCTCAGCTCCTCAGTAAAAGGGGGTGCCACCTGAGCCTCGGGTTTTCAGGAGGCCTGAGGGAACTCTGTGGACCCGGTAGACACCCAAGCAGTGGCAGCTACCATCCCTATTCTGTGGCCTTGTGGCTTGGCAAAGCGCTTGTTCACGCACTCAGGCCTTTCGGAGGTCTGCCGGGCAGGTGCTAGGATCCTCATTTCACAGGCAAAAGGGAAAAAAAAAAAACAACAACAACAAACTCAGATCAGAAAGCTTAAAAGTCTGAGACCAGATTAGAATGGTTCCAAGCCAGGCCTCTGGCTCCACGTCCACTCCAGGCAGCAAGGCCCACCCCAACCCCGGGCCCGGCCGGCCTCCTCAGGTAGCTCCCCGTCTACGCTGCACACATACCTGGGGCCGGGGACGGTGTGGGCTGGCTCATCTCGCCCAGCGGGTAGCCAAAGTTCCTCACCAGCAGGGTCATGTCCTCATGCCTCGGGCAGAACTTGGCACGCTCGCCGCCGCTGGCAAATGTGTCCCCATGGATGCGCTTCACCCGGTCCACCACGGCCTGGGCCACGGCATCCAGGGAAGTCTGCTTGGCGAACTCTGTGTCGATCATGGCGGCGATCTCCTGGGGAGAAGGGGGAGCTGGTGAGGAACAGGGAGGGGGCGCCCAGGACTGCAGCCCACGACTTCAGAGCTGAATCCGGATGCTTAGGGGGCATCAGCCAAGCAGGTGAAGGAAGTCTTCACCAGCCAAGCCTGTAATCCGAGCTTTTCAAGGTATTCAGGATAATTCTTCTGGAACTTTCTCATTAGAAAAGGTGTGACCTTGTGATCTCTCCAATTGTTGGCTTCCACACCAATAAAATGGGGGATAATATCCGCCTCGCTGGGTTATTAGGAGGATTAAATTGCACAGTGGATGGGAGGGCACTCTGGAGACCACAAAAAAGCCTGGTACGAATTGCTGTTATTATTAGGTTTACTTTCCTGGAACAAACTTACTGTAGGCTACATTACACCATTTTTGTTAGAAATAGGGAATACAGAATGAAGACGGGGCTCAGAGAAGTCCACTATCCAGTTTATTCTAGAACCCAGCAAAAGCCACTGGGTAATTCTTTGGCGAAGACCAAAAACAAGGAAAAGAGGAAAAAAAAAAAATCACACTGACAATAAGTTCACAAACACAAACTCCTCCACATGATGGCTAGCCTGAATCTCTTGGAGGTAGGAGAGCTGGGGCAGGTCACAGATGACCCAAGCCCCATCTGGGCCCATCACTGACCAGCCATCACCTCAGAACCTCAGGCAAGGCCCTGAACTCCATGAGCCCCATGTTCCCCAACTCGACGTGGGCAGTGAGCCCCTGCCTCCTGGGTTACACGGCCACTGGCAGGAACGGTAAGACAAAATGGATGAAAAACCTTGAACATGGGTTATCAGGAGACAGGCGCATGAGACATTTTCCTCCTGATTTTTAATTAAAAAGAGGACAAAGCAGAAAAGGTTACTTTCCAGGGGCGCCTGGGTGGCTCAGTCGTTAGGCGTCTGCCTTCGGCTCAGGTCATGATCCCAGGGTCTTGGGATCGAGCCCCACATCGGGCTCCCTGCTCTGTGGGAAGCCTGCTTCTCCCTCTCCCACTCCTCCTGCTTGTGTTCCTTCTCTCACTGTGTCTCTCTCTGTCAAATAAATAAAATCTTAAAAAAAAAAAAAAAAAGAAAAGATTACTTTCCCACAGGAAGCACAAACGGAAGGAGACCCACAACCTGAATTCACTATCCAAGGTCAGGAAAGGGCAGCTTCCCTTCAAAATCATCCTTGAGGTGACTGTCTCGAAGCCACAGCGTTAGGGACAATTGTCTGGCATGTGTGCTCTCAGCACAGGAAAAATAAGTGGGTCCCACTGGCAGGGGACCTAAGCTTATCACACCTCGATCTCACCACAGCCCCCAAAAGGCAGATGTTATCACCCCCTGTGTCAGGGAGGAAGAGCAAGCTGTGAGCGAGTGCAGCTCAGAGGCGAAGGGAAGGGAGAGGAGAGGAGGGGAGGGGAGGGGAGGGGAGGCGGAGGGAGGCTCAGGCTCAGGCCATACCCTCTGGGCCCTCCTCCTTGGACCCGGGCCCTTCTCAGACACACTCCAGAGCAATGTGCCCCTGGAAATTCACTTCCAGGGGCCCTGGGGACAGACCCTGCTTCAAGCCCAGGACAAGCACGGCTTTTGGGTGGGATGGGTGTTCTCAGAGCGCTGGACATTTTCTTCCCCCAGCTTTGAACGCACAGAAGCTGTCTGGTGAGGGCATTTGAGAACCGGAGCTCTGGGTCCCTCCGTGGAGCGAGCAGGAGGGCTGCCTGGGTCCCCAGGGGAGCACACCGTTCTGCGGGCTGGCTGGCGGCGCCCTGCCCGAGCCGGGCTCACCTGGTTGGCCTGCCCGGGCCCATGGGCAGCCTCCAGAGCCTTGTAGAGCCCCTCCGACATCAGCACCAGGAAGCCAGTCACCCCATCCAGGGGCTGCGCACCATGGATTTCGGGCTCCGCGATAATCGGCTTGGACTTGGCGGCACTGTGGGAAGAGAGTGTGGGGAGAGCTGTGCTTGGAAGGGCCCCAGGAGACATTTCTTCTGCTGAAGGCAAGAATCCACCCAGGATGTAAAGTAAAATGCACATGTTAACAAGAGGAAAAGAAACAGAGGAAAGAGAAAACCAGAAAAACAGACCTATCTTCTGAGGGTGGCTCCTGACGTAAAACTCTGAGGGCCCGGAGGGCCAGTGTGGCCGCTGGGGTCAGGACGGTGAGGGTCGTCGGGTGCCTGATCCTGGCCCCGGGCCCCATCCCCTGTCCACAGCGCCCGGGCGGTGGCAGGAGGGACAGCACGAGGGTGGGGATCACTTTTAGAAGCCCACTTCTCCCGGGCTCCTCCAGAACGAGTATCCACGCATACCCCACGTCCACTCCCCAGGTGCACGGGGACCCTTCACTGAAGCACTGGCAGAGCCAGAACGTCACAGAGCTCCAACACGTGCGCATACAGAGCCAAGTCTAAGACGTTCCTGGCAAAAGCACTTGGAAGAGCAGAGTCTGGAAATATCCTGCGTGCCCATGAGTAGGGGCCGGCGAGCGCCGCTGCAGGCCCGCTCCGGGCCCCTGGGAGCCGTTTCAGAGAGCGCCGCCAGCCTACCCTGCGCTGCGCAGGGGGGAGGACAGCATCCATCGGGAATCGAGGGGGGTGCAGGGCGCTGGAAAGGGTAGGCCAGCCCCTGTGGGCGTTTTGGGAAGGGGGCTACCCCCCCGCAAACACACCCCCACACACATGTGCACAGGAGCTCCGGGGCAGGATGCGGGAGAGACCAGCAGCTTCTGGGGAACGAGTCCAGGCTCGGGGTGGGCAGAAAACTTACTTTTCACTGTGTATCCCTGGCGCTATCTAAATTGTTTTGAACCACATATGTACTTCCCAATTAAGCAAACAGAACCCCACAACTTAAGAGACAAAAGTTTCCAAACTCAACTGCCTAAATCTTGTGAGAGTAAGGAGTTGTAATCATGCTTTCTAGGCCATGAGGAGTCTGGCTCCGATGCTGGGGACTTTGGTATGATCCCTCAAAGCTCTCTCTGGTTGTGACGGCAAATGCTGTAATGGGCAACACACACCTCCCGGTCCCCCCCAACACCTCATACACCCAAACCACACCCCCACATACATACCACAACCCCCCCACACCCCACACACCCCCCACATATATACCACGCCCTTCCACACACCACAGATATACACACACACCCACCCCACATGTCTATTTCCCAATCAATATTAAGGACGTTGCTCTGGATTCAGGACGCCTGGGTTCAAGTCCTGCCTCAGCCCCTGCTAGCCCTGTGACCGGGCAGGCTCCCTGATGTCCCTACAGCTGTTTCCTCAGATGAACACACCTTTGGGGCAACAACAGTACCTACCTCACAGGGCCGGAGTGAGGACTGAGTAAGACTGTGTGTAAAGAGCTGGGCACAGGCTTGGCACAATAACGGCCCACAATCATCACTGCTGCCCATTTGCTGCTGTGAGCCCTGGGTGGCACCCGGAAGGGAACTGTCCTCGGAGGGCCATGTCCGCTTTGTCTCGCACCTCTGCCCCAGGCCCAGCCCCAGGCAGCACTGACCAGCAGGCCTGTGGGCTGTCCCTACCCACACCTGGTGGCTCATGCCAACGCTGGTCACTCCTATCAGGCCCTGTGGCACTGGCTGCTGCCCTTGGCTTTGACTCAGCTCCCCAACCTGACCCCTTGCCAGCCCAGCTCTCCGGAACCCCCACTCCCGGCCTGTTGGGTCTAGGGCCACACACCAACCTCTCCGGGAGGAAGAAAAGTCTTGGGCTCTCAACTACCTCAGCTGCATCTTTGTGTCCCTAGAGCCTAAAATCTGGTTCTGCCCAGACCCTCTGGCCTTACAAACAGGGGACAGCTAGGCCGGCTGCCTACCTGAGTAGGTCGATGTCAGTGTAGCCGTATTTGACCTTGTAATCCCCGATGCGTCTGGTGCTCTCCTGCCCACAGATGATCCCCACTTGCTTGATCTTTCCTGCATCTAAACCTGCCAGAGGGAGAACAGGACAATCCCAGATCCTGTTCATCATGAAGAACGAAAAGAACGGCATACAGACATAGCCCCCAAAACAAGGCAAAGAGAACCCCCTGAACGGAAAATGAAGTCACATCAGGGCACCCTAGGGAGCAGCTCACACGAAGAGCCCCAGTGCCCTCAGTGCCCAGCCCCACCAGAACGCCCCCTCCCGCAGAGGCCCTGGGCAGGGAGGGAGCGGCTACGCTGTGGTGGCTGCAACCTTGGGACTTCTCTGGCCTCTTAGTCTCTAGCAATCATAGTACCTACTGCATGCTCAGTACTCTTAGAAGCACTTTCCACATAAGGGCTCTTAACCCTCATGATGCCCTGCGGCAGGTGTTACTACGATCCTCTTTACACAGATGGGGAAACTGAGGCACAAAAAACTTCCAAAATTCTGAACATCACCAGCTAGTAAGGGGCAGAGCTGGGATCCAACCCCAGGCAGGCTGGTCCCAAGCCCAAGGTCAGCGCCTGAGCACTTCACTCCTCTCCCTACACAGCACCCAGAAGAGGACAGAGGGTGAGCCATGGGGGCCGGCCCCACGCTGACACACCCAGCTGAGAGAGGCGGAAGAGCTCGTCCTCATTCTCTGTGGTGTGGTCCACGTTCAGCTGGGTCACCTGCAGCCCGTCCACCGTGGATTTGCACAGAAGGGCACGATTTGTACCTGCAGGAGAATTTGAGAAGCTGAGCCAAGTCTGCATAAGGGGAGGATACGGGGAGGAACAGACGTGTTGAGCGGAGGGAGAGAGAGGGAGGGAGAGAGAGAGAGAGAGAGAGAGAGAGAGAGAGAGAGAGAGAGAGGAGGCAGGCATCTCACACAGGGAAATCCTTGGAACGAGCAAAGCAAATAGGCTGAGACCACTGGGGTGAGTCACCAGTCAGGGCATGCTGCTGATATTAAGGAATCAGGTTAAACTTTCCCAGTGTCATCCTAGGATAACTATGATTTTACTAGGAGACCTTCTCTCTAGAGAGACGTACTGAACTATTTACAAAGAGATAACATGACACGATGTCTGGGGTTCATGGGGACAAAGGGGTGGAGAGGAAATGAGACTGGTCTCGCGGGGGTGACTGCTGGGGCTGGGGGATGGGCACACACGGGTGTTCACTCCCTGCTTTTCACCCTATCTTTTCACATTTTTGAGTTCTGTCCACAATGAAATCTTAAGGAAAAGGGGGATATTATCAGTGGGGTCTCTACACTGCTCCTATAGTACTCTGCACCCTGTGGGTAGGACCTTCTTGGGTTCCCAGATGGCCTCTTCTTTGCCCACAAGTCCAAATATCCTCATGGCCCCTCACCCAGCCCATCTCGCCACCCTTCCTGGGATGCCGAGTGGGTCTTCCACAGCCAGGCGACCTCTTCCAGAGGAGGAAGCCACTGAGGTGACCCAGAGAGGGGACACAACTCGCCCATGGCCAGTTGGGGGCAGAGTGGGGACGAAAGCCGGGAGGCCCGCCTCCTAGCCGGTACCGCTAACTCCCCGCACTGGGACTGGGGCATTCCTGTGCAGAAATAGGGAAACGGACCCCATGGCCCCAGGAGACACGGGCTGGAGGGCTTACGTGTCTGGGAAGCAGACTGTCCAAAGAGCACACAGACCTTGAGGCTGATCTCTTGCCCAGCACTCCCCACCCTGGGACACGTAGGTGGCTCACCGACATTGGCGACGTAGAGCTTGTTGTTGAGCAGGACCGCCACGACGGCCATGGCTCCTCCCGAAATCTCCCTCTCCAGTGCCTTGAGTCTTTCGAGGATCTTCTGATACTGAGGAGGCAGCTGGTGCTGAGGGACACCCTACAGGCCAGCATCAGGGGGTCAGAGCAGGCTGGGTCCTCGGAGACCATCTCACCAGCTGCCCCTCCCTTAAAAGGCAAGGATCCGAGGGCCTGGCCAGGATGAAGCCGCGCTGCGGCTCAAGGGCAGGCTTCTCGCAGGAAGGCCAGACATGACCTTACTCGTCCTGTCAGTTCTGGAAGTGCCGGTGGCTGATGTGGGGGGGGGGGGTGATGAGGGCTTATGGACAGGTTCAGGTCGAGGACTGAGCTGGAAGGGGCTTTTCTCACATCCTTCACTGCCCACCCCTATGCCGAACCCAAGTGAAGCTGCCCACAATGGGCCAGGGAGGCCCCTCGGGGGGGGGGGGTGCCTCTGCAAACGCACTGTTGCCCAGTCCCTCAGTCAGGAACTATCCCCCTAATTCCTGCCGCTCTGGCCCAGTCATGTCAATGGCTGGGGAGTGACATGGCAGGTAAGTCCCTGCTCCTCACAAAGCTGGGCCTTGGGGTGCTTCCCTGGGGTAACAGGCTGGGGAGATCACCTCTGGCAGCTGGGACTGGAGGCTCGCCTTCTCAGCCAACGCATCATCAATGGACTCCAGGAAGCTCCTTTCTACCACATCGAAGGCCTGGAGGCAAAGAGACAGGGAGGGGGATCAGGGAAAAGGCCAGTTCAAAATACCATTGTCACCAGATACTGAAATGCCTATTAATAGTGACAAATTCTGGGGGCGCCTGGGTGGCTCAGGTGGTTGAGCAACTGCCTTAGGCTCAGGTCATGAGTCCAGGTCCCAGGATGGAGCCCCGCGTCTCCCTGCTCGGCGGGGAGCCTGCTTCTCTCTCTGCCCCTCCCTCCTACTCTGCTCTCTCTTGCTATCTCTCTCTCTCTCTAATAAATAAATAAAATCTTAAAAAAAATAGTGACAAATTCTGTACGAACTGCAGGCCATCACGTGATAGGGGCTTCACAGGTAGTACTGCAAGGCCTGTGGTTCCCACAGAGCCGTGTCGGACAGAGACGTCAGCCCCATGGGGCTGGAGCCTTCTAGGTAGCCCTGCAGAGACCAGAGAGGCAGGAGCCCGCAGAGAGGTTCCGAGCAAGACTTGGAATCAGGCCACCCGGGGTGAATCCCAGCTCTGCCACTTGTCCGCCGGGCAGTCTCCATGTCATCCACGAAGGAGACAAGTGCTGCTCGGGGGGGGGGGGGGGGGTGGGCACTGAGATAATCCACCCTGCGCACCCAGCACCTGGCTCAGCGGGAGCCAAGGGCAGTGACACCTCGTATCATCACTACATCCTGCCAGTCAACTGCCCGTCAGCCGGTCACACTGCTGCCTTTCAGGGGGTAGGGGGATGGGGGAACCAGCCGAGAATCACTGGCGCGGGGCCCTGAAGCCATGGAGGCCCTCTGGCCCAGGTGCTGAGGCTGGAAAATGGCCGGGAACACTGTTTTCGAGGAACAGGAATCCATCCTTCTCACTGAAAACTAAGTGCCTCTGGACGTGCTTCCGAAAAGAGACGCCAGGAGGAAAACCTCCAGAACATCAGCAAGCAGAAAGCAGAATTGGCCAGTGAGTCCCAGCAAACCCAAAGTGAGGAGGCAAGGCCCAGGGCTGCCTGCAGCCCCAAGAAGCTGAGCACCTAAGCCTCAGCTGGAGGAAAGGGATCATCCTAAATTACCATTCCTCAGCCCTCTCCCACCACACCCCTTTGTCCAAGGTACATCCCTGATGCCCCTCTCCCCAGGAGGATCCCTCCAGAGCCCACCCAGCCACTCATGGGGAAGGACTGCAGCTGGCTGCCTGGTCCCGGACTCTGGGGGTGTAGGGAGCCTGTGTGATGGGAACAACTTTGGAGAAAAACAACTTTGCCTTTGAGCGGCTGCCTACATGTCTGACAGTGTGACAACCCTGCTCCTAACCAGAGTCTGGACTCTTAGATAAGGGCCTGAGCTCAGGAGTCCCACCCAAAATTCCTGCTTCGCAGTTCCTGGGGCACCTTTTAAAATAACCACGTAGAGTTAAGGCTATGAGAGTAGTGACCTCCACCCCAACCACCTCGTTAGTAACAGGTGCGGGCTCCCGACCCGGGATGGAGGACTGTCCACCCACCCACCCCTGCTCAGTGGCGCCCTCTTGCTTCTAGGATCTGTAAGTAATAATAAATCTGTGGCACGTGAGATTGCACCTTGGGTCAGAACAGTCCTGTGGGTCTCCCGTCCCCAGAGGGGTGCCTGGAGGCTGAGGGAGCTACCTGCCAACCTCATGACATCATCTTAATTCAATATACCTGCTCTGGCTTCGCAGCACAACTGGTGACAAGGATGGGATTGGGGGTGGGGGCAGTCTGTCCTACATGATGCCTGGGAGCTGTGAATGGCTTGCTAACTTCCTCCCCCAGACTGATCCGGTTCTCCGGGAAGGAACCACTGCTTGCTGGCCGGCCGTCTGTGGTGTTGCCTGGCACCAAGCCGGGTGCTGCCCCAAATGCCCACCTGAAATCGTTCGTGCTGTAAAAGGTCAGGCTCCCCTGCAGAGACCTGCCAGCAGGCCCCGATCTGAGGTGGATGTGTTTCCCATTCGTCTCTAAATGAGACCCCACTGGGTGGCTGGTCTGGAGGTGACTGGTTATAATCACAGGTGAAAGTCGAGCCCCAGTGAGCTAACTAGGACAGTAGGGTTCTGCCTCTTTCCCAGCAGGGGCACAGGCTATACGGCCCCTGGGAGCCAAGGAGAGTTCCCCCAGATTAGTGCCAGAAAAGGGAGGCTGGCTGCTGGGGCCGCTGTGCTGGTGGTCGGGGCTGGCTGTTGAGCTTGGGCAGCCAGCCCTAACCGGTGGCACAGGCAACTCCACCAGGGGCATCACGGCACCCCGGGTCAGCGCCTTCTTTGTTGCTGTGTTCCCTGCTGTCACAAATCATCCCCCAACCCCAGGGGATACTGGGAGTCCCGTCCCTGGTGTGCTACAGCAGAACGAACCCTCACTAAAAGCGGGGCCCCTGAGCACACGGCTACCAGCTCCTCCCCAGTCCCCAGAGGCTGCAAAACTGCTAGGCTCTTGGAAAGCTCTGCTGAAACGGCCCGGGCCTTCCTGAGCGCCGTGGAGTGACAGGCCTCACCGAGCGCCGTGGTGTAACAGGCCCAACTGTTGCTGCTAAGTTCTCGGGGCTGGGGGGCCTTCCCAGACACGCTGGTGAGCGCTGCACCGGTGGAGCCGCTTCCCCGGACATATACCAGGCCACCCCAGAGCCAGAGGCGGCGGCACGAGTCAGGAAGGAGACAGCCGCCTAGGTGTTGAAGGAGACAACACCCAGGTGTTCCCGGCTACCTTCCATCGCACCAGCATGTCCAATGATGACCAGCGTGACCCGGAAATGGAGACCAGTAACTGTACCAGGTTGGCAATACAAGGTTTTCTAGAAACATTTGTTCAAAGTGGGGAGAAGGGTGCTGACTGACTCTTACGGGACTCTGAACTGGCTCCGAGCTGTTCTTTGCAGCGGCTGAGATGGGTCAGTTTGGCTAGCCTGGCCAACAACTCTAAAATTCATAATTGGTTAAAAAAACAAAACACCCAAGGTACTGAGGACCCATTTTATTAGAGACACCCTAGAGGACCCCCGGACTTGGCACCACAGGGCCTCCAAATGTGTCAAGCCACAAAGGCAGGAGACAGACAAAATCAAAAAAGGTGGCAGGCTCTGAGGAAGAGATCCCCGAAGGCTCAGGAGCCCTCCGAGATAAGGAAGAAGACACTCCGCCTCTCCTGACTCAGATTTAAGCCCAAATCTTGTTTGCCCCTACAGCCAGGAACCCAATGGAGGGGCCCGAGGAGATACGGAGGCTCCTGGGCCCCTTCTGGGTACCCACGGAGGGGTGGCCTGCAACCCTCCTGAGATGACCCACAGGCCTCTCTGGGTAGCTCCGGAGATCAGGGACCCTTCATGACTTGCTCTCAAGACGGCCAGGACACAAGTTAGAGGTCTTTGCTCAGGTGCTGTGTATGCTGTCACCTGCTGGCATGCCCGAGCCCCTACAGCAGGATCTGGATCCCAGGCCCTGCCCACGCCCCTGCCCCAGGGACCCAGCTGTCCCCTGGGGCCTGTCCCTCCTCCAGGAGACAACCATCCGTATACTTCTCTAATTACCCACTGGGACACATAAAGACATAAAGACATTTTACTGCTCTTGTGGACACTTCCTGGGAACCCTTCCCCACATCAGTGAGGGGCACCCTTTAAATGACAAGGCGTTAACAGGCAGGATATAGAAGGCGTTCAACCTCCATGGGATGGGATCCACCTGCAACACAGAGGTTGGGCTATTGCCCCACATAAAATTCAAGGGCCTTAATTCGTCCCGTAAAGGCAGGGAAATTCCACTTGAGCTAAACACCAATTGTGAACCATTCAGTCTCCCACCACACTAAGACAAGCCCGCCACGCCTTGCGTCTCCTCACACTTTGGAGGCAACACACACCACACTCTCCTCCTTTCTTTATCCAGGCACCAGCAAAGCAAGGAGAAGCTCCACAGCGAGTTCGAGCTTGAAAGCCCGCTGGCTCGGGGAACCTGGGTGGCTCAGTCCGTTAAGCGTCTGCCTTTGGCTCAGGTCATGATCCCGGGGTCCTGGGACTGAGCCCCACGTCGGGCTCCCTGCTCAGTGGGAGGCTGCTTCTCCCTCTCCCTCTGCCGCTTCCCCTGTGCTCACTCGCTCTCTCGGTCAAATAAAGAAATAAAATCTGAAGAAAAAAAAAAAAAAAGGAAAGCCCAATGGCTCAAAGGTCAACTCATCAAGCCCGCTCCCTTGTTCCCTCGGCTCCTTCTTCCAGGTGGCCTCGGCGTCCTGGGGACGACAGACTAACCACGGCCCCTCCTGGCTGCCTGTGGGCTTCCGGCCCAGACGGCTGCATGCCCTCAGAACCTCGGATTCTGGCTCCTTCGTGGGCTTTGTTAGCAACCGAGGCCCTCACGGACTAGGGCTGCCCTACTCACCTTCCTCACGATATCATAGATCAGGGACGGCTCCCGGCAGTGGCTCGACACCACTACAAATGCCAATTCGCCACAGCGGAAAGGGTCCCTTTGGGAACGGGCTAAATTCAGCAGGGCAGGTCTTACCCAGCTGCAGGAGGATGCGGCTTCCGCGCTCCTCAGCCCCCTGCCCACGGACCTTGGGGAAGCGGTGACAGAGCCACCACTGCCTGAGGCCCTGGCAAGCTGGGATAGCGAAGGGGGTCCGTGCGCCTCGTGGATGGCAGCGCCCCCACTGACTGTGGCAAGGCGGGGTCAGCTTGGCCTCCTCAGGACAAATGGCTGCACCGTGCACGGCTGCCCACGACATGCCTCTTGTCCATATTTTTACCGACTCCCACAGGCAGCTGCTCACAGGCTGGCGGTTTGGTCAGGCCAATGGCAGTGGGGTGACTTTCACATGCAAGGCTGACCCATCTGGGCTGTTCCAGTTTGGAGGGCACCAGGGTGATGAAGGTCACCCACACTAGAGCATATGCAAACACTAGCACACCAGAGGCTGTCTCTAAGCTCCAGATGGATTCCCTTGCCTGAATCCCAGTCACCACCCATTTGGGGCTCTCAAGCACAACCCTCCACTCCGAGGACAACTCCACCAGCTCTCCAACCCTCCACTCCACTGTTCCATACTCCTTCTTCCCTGGCCTAAGGGTCCTCTCTGGTCCCCCATCCCTTCCGGTCTTGGGGGAGCTGTGACCACAAGGGCCTGAGCTCCAGCAGGGGCACTGTGCCCCCACAGCGCTTCCAAAATGCACTGTTTTGAATTGCAAATTGTGCTACCAAACCAAAGGCCGGAAACTGCCATTCTTTGGGCCTGTGAGGGGACAAACCTCTTAGCTGCTGGCCAGTTGAATTCACTGGGCCACTTCCTCCATCGGTGGGCACGACCCGCTGCACTGTTACAAGTGTGGTACTGTACCGGCTCATGGCTGGCTACATCCACCTGGAACACCTCTGTGGGGCAGCAGTCTTTCTAAGTGCAACCTACCCCCAGCAAGGCCTCCTGACACCATGACTCAGATCCTCAGATCCAGGATCTCATGTTACTGTCCATATAACATAGCACTGGGCTCTCCAACAGGGCCTCCGTGGAACTTTCATCTCGAACACAGGCCTCTGGCATTGCTGAATGCCACAACGGGCTTTTAAAATCTTTGCTCCTTAGGACGCCTAGCTGGCTTAGTCAGAAGAGCATGTGACTCTTGATCATGGGGTTGTAAGTTTGAGCCTCACGCCCCACATTGGGTGTAGAGATTACTTTAAAAAAAATAAAATCGGGGCGCCTGGTGGCTCAGTTGTTGGGTGTCTGCCTTCGGCTCGGGTCATGATCCCATGACCCCCTGATGCGGGGAACTCGAGCCCCGCATCGAGTTCCCTGCTCAGCAAGAAGCCTGCTTTTCCTTCTCCCACTCCCCTTGCTTGTGTTCCCTCTCTTGCTGTCTCTCTCTGTCAAATAAATAAATAAAATCTTTAAAAAAAATAAAATAAAATCTTTTGGGGCGCCTGGGTGGCTCAATCAGTTAAGTATCTGCCTTTGGCTCAGGTCATGATCTCAGGGTCCTGGGATCGAGTCCCACACTGGACTCTCCGCTCAGCAGGGAGTCTGTTTCACCCTCTCCCTCTGTGCTCTCTCTCTCAAATAAATAAGTAAAATGTTTAAAAATAAATAAAATAAAATCTTTAAATAAATAAAATAAAATAAAAATAAGATCCTTGCTCCTTAAGTTACACAGCAGTAAACAGCTCCTAAACTTCCTCACTGCCCGGGGCCCTTACCACTTTAAATTCTAGGCCCCACGGCCATTACGCTCCTCACACCCTGCCACCGGGAAAGGCTCCCAGAGCGGGTTCCTCTGCAGGAGAAGGAGCCGGCAGCCCCTTCAGACCAAGCCTGGCTAACCCAGCACTTTGCAGTTGCCGGGCTGAGCTCCCGGGGGACCCGGTCAGCCAGCCCGAGCAACGCTACCTGCAGCAGCACGCGCCGCACGTCCGCCTCGGTGTGCTCGGCGCTGAGCTGGCCCAGCAGGAGCTCAGCAGACAGCCGCTGGGCCACGAAGCTGGTCACTCGGTTGCCATCATAGCCGTTGAAGACCCCGTACAGGAAGCAGTTGTTCTCACTCCTGCCAGAGAGAGGGGGAGCAGCTTGAGACTGGGGGCTTACAGAAGAGTGACACCAGTTCCCAAGCGGAGGGGAGGAGGGCCAGGATTGGGGGAGGCCAAAGACACAGCAGCGGTGGCTTCAGCTGCCCACCTGAGTCTCCCCACATTGACCTTCCTTCCCCGCGGGCATGGCCTTCTGGGACACTTCCCGCCCCCACGGTAGCAGGCCCTGGGTGGGTGTGAGGTCCAGCTGTGCAAGGGACAGCAGCAGGTGCCACCTCCCACATCTCAGTGGCGAGCCCCATTTGAGAGAGGTGCAAAACTGTGGCTTTTTCTTGCCCACAGACCTGCTTCCGATGCCCAGGGGGACACCGCCGGCACACTCACCTGAACTTGAGCCAGCTGTCCTCCGGTGGGTGGCTTTCAGTGCCCTTGCCATCAGCAGAGTAGCTGCGGTTGGAGGCCGAACCAACGCCAGAGAGGTGGCAGAGCGGCAGGTCATCTGTCCAGCTTGGTTGCTGTTCCTGAGAAGGACACCAGGAGACCGAGAAGTGTCACCTTCTCCCCCAGGACAGAGCCCTCACCTTCTTCCCCAACAAAAACTAGTAGCCCCAGAGCCCCGTGGACAAGGTTCCACTTCCTCCTGGAAAACAATGCTTGTACGAACAAACACCTACAGAAGGGCCTGCATGTTTTTATGGGTAGTCCACAATGTTTTTCTCCAGGAAACCTAGAAAAGCCTAGAGCTCCCAAATTCAAGGCCCAGCAGTGGTTGCCAAGCATGAGCTGGGTTACAAAACATGAGTGAGACACACGGGTGCAGCAAACTCTTGGTAGAAAGCTCTTTGGTAGCTCCCCACCTCTCCCTGCTGCGGCTCTGACGCCAGTCCCTCGGGCACCGGTTATAACTGGAGGTCTCCAGGCCCAGCCCCCAGAGTGGCCGATCCTGGTGGGGCCCAGGATACCAGCAACAGCAGATCCTCCAGGTGACTGACTGAGGCGGCCCGGATGGCACTGGAGAAACGGTCTTTGCGAGCAAGCCTCAGTCATGCTTCATGCCACTGGGGCCTCTGCCCCTGCTCCCTGCTCTGCTCCGGTGACCTCTTCCATCTGCTCCGTGCCACATCCTTCTCCACAAGTACAAGGCCCCCAGAGCCCCACTCTTTTCCCTCTGCATGAACAGACTCCTTATCCTTGTCTAGCAATTCTCCATGCCTTCGGGACTCTGGCTCAGCAGTCACCGCCTCCAGGAAGTCTTCCTTCAGGAAGACCACCCCACCCCCAGCCAGGGCTTGACTGATAGCCCTCCCATGCACTCCTATGACACGTGGCTCCCTCACTCTGGCCTGCCTGTGTCTGACTGCCCTTCTACCCCATGGATCCCAAACCAGACTGCTCAGTATCATCACCATGGAGCTTAGAACCTTACACGCACACGCAGGTGCACACACACCTGTGGCCAGGCCTGGCCCAAACACAGATTCTGAACTGCCTAAATCTCCCCGCAGTTCATTCTGAGCATCTGCATTTTTTAAGCCTCAGAAAACAACTCTGACACAGGGCCCTGGTGCAATCCACTGCTTCTCACTGACAGTCTCCCCAGAGCCGTCCCTACCCGAGTGTCAGCCCAGTTCACAGGGGCATTCCCAGGACCACCGGGCTGAACTACAGGAAACCGAAACAACTGGGAGAATAAAAAGTCAACTGCAAGGAGGACAAAGTTTGCATCGGACGCTGTACTGAAATATTAAACAGGCATGGCTACTGTGTGCGACTGCTCGCAAGGTAGCAGTCCGAGCCTTCAAAGGAGGCCGTGAAAACCACTTCGATGGGCTTTTGCAATCAGGTATGTAAAAGGCCTGGGGTTAGCTTGTGACTCTTGTGTCACCCCTTTGTAGCCACACCCTCCCCTAGCCCTGTGCTAGGCCACTACGTTGTCTTTTCAGTAATATCTTTGGTGAGGGGCGCCTGGGTGGCTCAATTCTTAACGTCTGCCTTCGGCTCAGGTCATGATCCCAGGGTCCTGGGATCGAGCCCCGCATCGGGCTCCCTGCTCGGCGGGAAGCCTGCTTCTCCCTCTCCCACTCCTCCTGCTTGTGTTCCCTCTCTCGTTGTCTCTGTCAAATAAATAAACAACATCTTAAAAAAAAAAATCTTCAGTGAAATTAAGCAGTACATGACTTTTTTTTCTTTTTGTGATAAAATGCATTTAGCAAAATTCACCATCTTAACCATTTTTAAGGGTATAGTTCGGGGTACTAAATATTCAGTGTTGTGCAGCCGGCCCCGCCACCCATCCCCATGGCTCTTTCCATCTTGTAAAACTGAAACTCTGTCCCCATCGAACACTAACTCCCCCTCCCCAGCCCCGGCACCCACCACTCCGCTCCAGGTCTCGAAGGGCATAACCTTTTGAGACGGGCTCCTCTCCCTCAGCACCATGCCTCAGAGATACCTGCCATAAGTTGCTGTGGCAGCAGGTTTGTCCCTTCATCACAGAGTTTTCCATCAGATGGATGCAGAAGCCCATCCGCTCATCCACTCAAGGGCATCTGGGCTGTTTCCAGTTTGGGGCAATTATGGAGGGCCGGTATGAACAGTCATGGGCAGGTTTTTGTGTGAACATGACCTTTCACATCCCTAGAGGAGGGATGAGATGGCTGTCTAATTTTGTAAGAAATTGCCAACTGTTTCCCAAAGTGGTGTACCATTTGCGCTCCCGCCAACAAATGCACAAGGAGAGTTCCAGGGGCTCCGCATCCTCACCACTGTAGCGTCTCCTTTGTTAAATGGAGACATTCTAGGAAGTGGGTAGTGCTAGCTCATCAGGGCTTTGATCTGCGTTTCCCTGGTGGCTAATAATGGTGTTAAGCATCTTTTCATGTGCTTCTTTGCCATCGCCACAGCTTTGGTGAAGCGTCTGTTTTAAGTCTTATGCCCATTTTTTTTTCTTATGTCCATTTTTTATGTGGGTTGTTTTTTCACCTGCCGAGTTCTGAGAACTCTTTTATGTTTTTTGGATAAAGTCCTTTGTTGGACATGTGATTTGCAAATATTTTTTCTCAGTCTGTAGCTTCTTTCTTTCTTTCTTTCTTTTTTTTGCAAGATTTATTTACTCTGAGAGAGAGAGAGAGAACGAGCAGGGGAGGGGCAGAGGGAGAGAATCTTTCAAGCAGACTCCCCACTGAGTGGGGAGCCCGACTCAGGGCTCTATCCCACAACCCATGAGATCATGACCTGAGCTGAAACCAAGAGGCAGAGCTTAACCGACTGAGCCACCCAGGTGCCCCTGTAGCTTATTTTATTTGCTTATTGGTATCTTTTGCAGGCCAAGAGTTTTTAGTTTTGATGAAATCCATTTTATCAGCTTTTTCTCTCACGGTGCATGCTTTCTAACTATCTGCCTGGCCCCAGCCACAGAGACCTAAGTTTTTCTTCTGATAGTTTCACATTTAGACCGGTGATCCATTTGGGGTTAATCTCTGTATTAGACAGGAAGTTTAGGTCTAAGGTTTTTTTTTGTTTCACATATGGATATCCAATTGTTCCAACACCATTTGTTGAAAAGACTGCCCTTTCTCCATTAAGTTATCTCTGCACCTCTTTCAAAAAAATTAACTGGCCATCCTTGTGTGGGTCTCTGTCCTCCACTCTGTTCCATGGATCCATGTGTCCATCCCTCCACCAATTCCATGCTCTTGATTACCATAGCTTTATAAATCTGTATCTAAAATCTCCATTATCAAACCTACATTTTATTTATAATCTATATTATACAATTGGGTAGTGGCTTGCTTCTAACTTCATTCTTCTTCAAAATTATTTCAGTCATCCTAGTTCCTTTGCTTTCTCTATAAATTTTAAAATTAGCTTGTCTGTATCTACAAGAAAATCTTGCTGGGATTTTGACTGGAATTGTTTACAGATCACTTTGAGATCTGACATCTTCACTGTGCTGAATCTTGCAATTCATCAACATGGTGTGTCTTTAATCTTACTTACTTTTTTTTTTTAAAGATTTTATTTATTTATTTGACAGACAGAGACAGCGAGAGAGGGAACACAAGCAGGGGGAGTGGGAGAGGGAGAAGCAGGCTTCCCGCGGAGCAGGGAGCCCGATGCAGGGCTCAATCCCAGGACCCTGAGATCATGACCTGAGCCGAAGGCAGGTGCTTAACGACTGAGCCACCCAGGTGCCCCTAATCTTACTTACTTCTTTATAAGACTTATTCACAAGATGTCACCACAAGTTCTGAAAAACCACTAATGCCTATTAGTAGCCTTAGAAAACAGAAAATGTGAACGAAACCTAGCCGTGGAAAAGAAACAGCAACAAGAGCTGAAATTCTGCTCAGCTTCTGAGGACACCAGGTATGAAGGGCATGTGTTCCCTCTCTCGCTGTGTCTGTCAAATAAATAAATAGAATCTTAAAAAAAAAAGACTTTATTTATTTGAGAGAGAGAGCAAGCGAGAGCGAGAGAGAGCACACATGAGCAGTAGGCAGAGGGAGAGGGAGACAGGCTTCCCGCTAAGCAAGGAGCCCAACGTAGGGCTGGATACCTGGGATCATGACCTGAGCTGAAGGCAGACGCTCAATGGACTGAGCCACCCAGGCGCCCCTCTAGCTGGAATCCTGACCTGTCTCATTTGAAAGCAATATAAATGTCTCTCTTAATATAAATGCGAACTACCTTAATTAAGTCTTTGGAATTCACATATGACATTATGCAATTAGAGTACATTCAATGAATACAAACACGTATTCAATAAACGTTTACTGGGCATTTATAAAAGGCTGGCATTATTCTAGGTGCTGGAGCCACAGTGCAGAAAACGACTGAGGGTCCTTGTTTGAAGCCTCCTTTCTAGTCAAAGAGAAACTTCAAACATGTAATACTATAAATAAAGCTATTTGAGACAGGGATATGTGCCATATAATATATATAGTTAGGGTAAGGGGACCGTGAGTGATGGTGAGGGCTCTTTTAGATGAAATGGTCAAAAGAGGCAACCTCTGAGCCAGACCCAAATGATTATGGAGCAGTGACCATTTCAGAAAAGTGGGAAAGGAGCCTTCTAGGCAGAGGAAACAGCATGTGCAAAGACCCTGAGGTGGAAAAATAAGTGTGTGAGGTTTAAGGAGGTCCAAGAAGGCCAGCGTGGCCTCTGTAGTGACCAGAGGGGAACGTGGCTTGCTACAGTGTTCATACATGTGTGCCTGGGTGGGAACAGGGTAAGGCCTTCCATGCCATTGAAAAGAGTTCATTGCCAAGGAATTAATTATTTTTCAATGAACCGCTTTGTGCCAATTATCCCTTAGGTCTTAGATCTGACTAATATACCACCATTGTCAGAGACCTTACAAAGGCAACCTAGCAAATAAGTTTCCAAAAGAAGTTCTTTTTTTGAGTAAATATATACATATATCATCTTTTTTTTTTGATTTTATTTATTTGTTCATGAGAGACAGAGAGAGAGAGGCGGAGGGAGAAGCAGGCTCCCCAAGGGGCAGGGAGCCCGATGTGGGACTCGATCCCAGGACCCCGGGATCATGACCCGAGCTGAAGGCAGACGCTGAAGTTCTTTTTTTTTTAGGGTGTGTCTCTTGCCTCCAATTCAAGTGAGATTAAGCATGACATTAAGCACAAAAGCATCTCCCTAGTCAGGTGTGTCCCATGTCTTCCTCCTGAAAAGATGGGTCAAGAGACCAATATTCAGTACCCCAAAGCATCACAGCTGTTTTAAAGCACGGCAGAAGGGGCACCTGGATGGCCCAGTCGGTTAAGCAGTTAAGGGTCCTGGAATCGAGCCCTGCATCAGGCTCCCTGCTCAGTGGAGAGCCTGTTTCTCCCTCTCCCTCTACTGCTCCCCCTGCTTGTGTGCTCTCTCTCTGTCAAATAAATAAATAAATCTTTTAAAATAAAGCACAGCAAAAGATGTTTATACTTTCTAAAGTACAGAAAGTGATTAACTTAATCACTGTCTGTGATTAAAGATGAGATTAAGATGGATTGAACTTGTCCTCGAATAGAAGATGAACCATACAAATGTGTCATCCAGGATGCAAAACCTGTCACTGGTGCTGCGACCATGGTGCTTCCTCTGCCATTCCCTACCTCCCACAAGGGACAGGGACAGGCTTCCGAGGACTCAAATCTTTCCAACAAATTCATACTTTCCAGCAAAAAATAAATATTACCCAAGCAACTTATGGGCCCACTTGACATTGAGATAGGCTACAAAAAACACTAAGGAAAGAGTCTTTTACAAGGAAGGAAGGAAACAAACTGGAACAAATGACCGAGGAACTGGCCACGTCCGTGTTTCAGGGCACAGGGACAACTCATCTGAAAGCATTTCCCGGTGGGCGCCCATGACATTGCTACCAGGAATGGGCTGATGCTGCCTGGACCGCTGCAGCCACACTCAGCTCGTGTGGGAATAGCAAGCCCTCCCAAATCCGAAAAATTGTATGACAGTGGTCAATCTACTTACAATCATCTTGTTCTTCCATATTTATGACTAGTGCCTGGCCACCTCTACAATGTTAAGTGCTCTTTTTGAAATCTGATTTTCCTAATGTTGAGCTAGCAATATTTTGGAAATATGGTTGACTCTTGAACAATGCTGAGGTTGGGGCACCAACCTCCTGCACAGTCTAAAGTCCACATGCAACTTCTGACTCCCCAAAAACTTAACTATATTGACATAGGCTACTAGTGACTGGAAGCCTTACCAATAACATAAACAATTAATTGACATGTTTTGTATGTCATATGTATTATATAACGAATTCTTACAGTAAAGTTAGCTAGAAAAAAGAAAATATTAAGAAAATCATAAGGAGGGTGCCTGGGTGGCTCGGTTGGTTGGGCAGCTGCCTTCGGCTCAGGTCATGATCCTGAAGTCCCGGGGTCTAGTCCCGCATCGGGCTCCCTGCTGGGCGGGGAGTCGGCTTCTCCCTCTGGCCCTCCCCCCTCTCATGTACTCTCTCTATCTCATTCTCTTTCTCAAATAAATAAATAAAATATTAAAAAAAAAAAAAAGAAAATCATAAGGAATGGGGCTCCTGGGTGGCGCAGTCGGTTAAGCATCCGACTCTTGGTTTCGGCTCAGATCATGATCTCAGGGTCCTGGGATCAAGCCCTGTGTTGGGCTCCACGCTCAGTGTGGAGTCTGCTTAAAATTCTCTTTCTGGGGCGCCTGGGTGGCTCAGTCGTTAAGCGTCTGCCTTCAGCTCAGGTCATGATCCCGGGGTCCTGGGATCGAGCCCCGCACCGGGCTCCCCGCTCAGCGGGAAGCCTGCTTCTCCCTCTCCCACTCCCCCTGCTTGTGTTCCCTCTCTCACTGTGTCTCTCTGTCAAATAAATAAATAAAATCTTAAAAAAAAAAAAATTCTCTTTCTGCTCTCCCTCTGCTCCTCCCTCCATGCACCTGCTCACGTGCTCACTCCCTCTCTCTTGAATAAATAAATCTTAAAAAAAAGAGAAAATTATGAAGAACATACACAATACAGTACTGTATTCATAGAAAAAAATCTGCATATAAGTAAACCTGCACAGTTCAAACCCATGTTGTTCAAGGGTCAACTGTATATTATTTGATTAACTAGCAATTGGTTTTCAGATCAATG